CTCAGCCATCGCTGTTTTCTACAGTGTAACTGTATGCACAATCTGAAATAAAGATTTTTCCTTTAAAAAAAAATACTGTAAAAATCAGCTCCAGCTAGTGAGGAAAGGCATCAAACACATTTGGAGAACCCAGGTAGGAAAATACTGTTTTGGAAGAAACAGATATGAAGACTCAAACTTCTTCTTTTATTTAGTGAAATAGAGGTGATATAATTTGCATGATTAATAAAATAAGATTCTTGATAAATAGTAACAGCACCATTGGTTATATTCTTTGGAATGTCCCATAACGTTAATGAAACACATAGATAGATCCCTGCTATTTTGCCCCTTAACAAGAAGGCAGGGACAATCGTGTACTTCGAAGTAAAGTCACCTTGCCTTAAGTGGATCCTTGTGATCTACCTATGTTGTGGTCCATCAGTGGCCTGTGCAGCTAGTAGCTGATTCCAACAGCGAGGAGGCTGGTGTGGTGCTGCGCCAGCAGCCTGTGCAGCTGGCACTCGAGTCAGACAATGAGGAGGCTGGAGAAGATGTGGTGCCAGAAGCGAGGATTCAGCCAGGGCCTTCAGAACCTCCAGAAGCTCCTATAAGTGAAGAGTAAGAAGAGGAGCCTCTTCTCGATGCATGGGTGCGCAGAGCTGCCAAAAGGCAGGAGTGGCTCCTCAGGAGAAGATCTCCTCGAGAGTAAGGCTTGGGGCTAATTGGCCACTCCCTTAGCTTATTTAAGGAAGGACAACGACTAAGGCAATTTGCAGGGAACAACTTCATTCACTCTCCTTCGCGTCTTGATCTTAGTTCTCTTTTCAGTTTCCTGCAAATTGCTTTTGGGCTTTCTGCCAACCATAGTAAGATTATGATTATTTATTCTTTGGATTCTTGTAGGCTGTTAAGAAAGTTAATTAACAGTCTTTGTTTGAAAAAGATTGATTTAATTTAGTAAACTAAGGTTTGTACAGACTTTGTGTGTGCTGCGTTCTTTCGGGTCCGTAGCTGGGGCAGAACAACCTAGCATTAATTGTCTCAATTCACAAGTAGTGCCATTTCACATACAAAATCCAGCAAGTGGGTTTTTTTTATTCTCCATTTACATCCTGTGAATTTTCAGAACGGTGTGTAGAAAATGCATTGTTTGATAATGGATACTGCAAAGTGCAAGTGGCTGTGAGTTGAAGTACGGCATAAATCCAGTTGCCCCCTGAAATAAAAGGAGAAAAAAGTATGGTTCTTTTTAATGAAATCTTTTTTGGCAGTGTCTTCCTCCTGCCGCATCTTAGCTAGAAACCTCCATGAATGCAGGAGAAGGCACTGTTTTACATTGCAGTAACTGATGATTGATGAGGTTATCCGTTCAGTATTCTCCAGCTCGTTTACAGGCCAGGTCTCTCCACATCTACCGATTTTAGCTTTGATGGTACACGAATTGAGCATTGTTCAGACCTGAAGCAGCCATAGGAAGATGTAAAATTGGATGGCAATTTTGTTTTTCTAAAGTGCTGAGTAAATTATTGAGGAGAGAAGGGAAGTGTTGGGTGACTGGAGAGAGCAGGTGAAGCATGAGTGAAATGGCTGGCATAATGACTGGAGAGGTGGTCCTTGGTTGATGGGTAGAGCATTAGGGAACGAGATGGTTAGCAAAAGAGAAATTAGCAAACTGAACAGAAATACACTGAGGGCAGGATCTGTACAGGTTATTCAATTGAAAAACAGTAATTTAGAGAAAATTAACTGACTTCAGTTAAACGAGTACTTTATTGAAGCAAAAAATGGAGTTTGCATTTTGGGCTATGGTCATAGTTTTGCCTTGTACGTAGTTCTGCCTGTCTGTCTGTCTGTCTATCCTCTATCTCAGGGGTGTCAAACTCAAGGCCTGGATCTGGCCCACCAGGTGCTTAGATTTGGCCATGGGGCTGCCCTAGAAATAGTGAAGGACTGGCCCGCAGTGTCTCTGCCAGCAAAGATATCTTGGGAGGACCACCTGCGGCCTTCCCAAGCTCCATTTTCACTGGCAGAGGGTTGCAGGAGGCTGTCGCAACGGAGCCCACAAGGGCTGTGTGTGGCCTTCCCGAGCTCTGTTTTCACTGACAGAGAGCTGCAGGAGGCCATCACACCCAAAAATGGAGCCCACGAGGGCAGCTGAAGGAGCCCATTTTCTCTGGCAGAGCACTTGGGCCGCCACAGGTGCCCCAATACGAGTAACGTTGAGATGCCCATGCCACTCTCGCCAAACCCACCCTGGCCTCCTGAAGTCAAACACAACCCTGATAACGGCCCTCAATGAAATCAAGTTTGACAGCCCTGTTCTATCTTATGTATCCATCTACTTATCTATTACCAGTTTCCCCTTCTTCCTTGCATGAAGATGATGTTTAGAGACTAAGCAGACATTTAAGATAGAATCTTCAATAATTTTTTAAAAGTTGAAAGACCAACCCCATTCATGCTCAGCATTATTATTATTGTTTTCTAATGAATGTATAATTAACTACTCTACTCCTGGATTTTTACAGGACCAAATTTCCATTTCATCCCTTATAAGAAAGATTACCTGTCCTGAGCCTCATAGTGCCTGTGGCTCTGAGATATCTTAGAAAGCCCATTGTATTTCTAATATTAAGTTACAGGTATAAGAGTACTGGAAAAAGAGCAAGTTATAAAGAAAGAAAGATAAATAGATATTTATCTATTAAACAGATATGTGATGGGTTGGAAAGAAATACTAGTTATCTTTCTAGCTCATGACATACCTGTTTTTTTAGAAGATCGTTTTCATTTTTCAGAAAAAGGTTTGCAGAGTTTTGCTGGGAGCAGAAGACAATAACATTTCAGATATATATTAAAACAACATGTCCTCCACCCTTAAAATGATGTCACTATTTTGTGAAACAGATCTTGGAATTACTTGAATCACGTACTATTAAAAATGCAATAAATTAAACAAGTTCCTATTTTCATAATGCACTGTATTATAGAGCAGTGTTTAGGCTCATAGAAGTGGTTCCTGTCTTATTTATGATAAGCTGATTTGATTTCAGCCAAAAACCTTTCTGGCTTTTCAGTTTAAGAGGGACGTTTCTAAAACCATTATGTGATTTTTCTCACACATAAAAAGTTCAGCTAGTTAGTACAGGAACATTAAAATCATATCAAAGTTGTGACATAGAATTTGTGGGATTTGTTTGTTGGGTTAGACTTGGTGTTATTACAGTATTGATTTTTTTATTAATGGATAAGAGTGAAATATTACCTTTGACATTAGACATTAAGTAAACACTTCCTCTGTTATATCATTTCCCCATTGACAGTAAAGTTCACAAAGTCATAAAAGCAGAAGTTTCCAAGATAATGTTTCATTTAAGTAATTTATAGAAGCAAAAGGTACTGTATTTGATTTGTCTAATGGAATGCTGAAAATTTGTACTCTCTCTTTTTAAGTTACTCTCTCTGGTTAGCAAAACTTTAAATTAGGCGTTCATGGGAGAGTTTGAACTTTTGGAAACTTCAGTTTTCTTTAACATCTACATCTACAACCCTGGGTTTGAGGTGATCAAATACAGAGGGTAAATTTGTTGTAGTGGTTAAGGATCAGGGTGGTAACCAGGATACCAGGAACCCAACTGGATGACTTTGCGCCAATCACTCTCTTTTTCTCAACTCTTGGAAGGAGGCAATGGCGAATCGCATCTCAAATCTTGCCCAAAAAAATTGTAGGAGTTGTCCATACAGTTGCCAAGAGTCAATACTGACTCCAAGGCACCCCAAAAAAATTAATATACTGATGATAACCAGTGACATATCTCTCATCCGAGGTCAATGGAGATATAGTGGACGTCTTGACCTCAGTGCCTGGATCTATGAAAGAGTGGGTGGGGATAGAACAGATTGTATCCTAGCAAGACAGAATTATTTTTCTACAGAGGCTTTCAAATGCCAAGGTAGCACCTGAAATTGCTCTTGATTCCTGTACTTCTTTGAAACAGTAAATACAAATATGGAATCTCTCCTGGATGAGTAGGTGGAGGCTGTGGCAAAGAGAACTGGTTCAATCATTCCGATCTTTTCTTGACCAGCAGTTGCTGAACACATCAATTCATAAATAAATGAACAAAATGATTTTCAATCTGTAAATAATGCTAAATGTTTAAATTAGTTCAACATTTCCACCTTGTTCTTGAAAATACCCATTTTTCCTCACTGAAAAAAATTAAAGTATCCTATATTTACACAAATAAAGACTTACTGCTAACATGAGATCTAAGTAAATGCAAATTACTATTATTGTTGTTGTTGTTGGTGGTGGTGGTGGTGGTTACACAGTCAGTCAGCTGCTTGGATTTGGCATTTTTGTTCCCCTGTCGAGTCTTTCCTAAGGACCTAGTTTAATTAAATACTTAATTATTATTATTATTATTTATTTGACTTACATAGCCTCCCATCCGACGTAGATGTCTGTGGGTGATTTACAATAAAATAGATAAAACAAATAAAATACATAACATATATAAAAAACAGGAGTCAAGCATCACAAAGCCATCAATAAAGCCAACTGTATCCTACATCTAGTCTCCCACCTTGCTAGCTTAATTAACATCACATTTTTAGTATCAAACATTCACACACACCCTTTGTTGTCAAGCTGGCATTTTGAAATGTTATCCAAAGCTTTGTGTTACTTCCCATGTGAAGCCTGGGAGACAAAATATTCAACGGGAACAAATCATTCGGCTATCTTCTTTCCAATTAACATCATGCATGTTTTAGTCACACACTATTTTTTGCATTTTTAATATCCAATTCCTTTTCTACTTTAAACATGAATTTTGAAAGACATGTTAGTTTATGGAAACATACTGGTGGAATCGGCAGACTTAACATATGCATATATAGATGGGCCTTAAGTGAACCACTGGTTTAAATATTTAAAATATTTATTATTAAGTTTATTATGTATTATAAAATATTGTTTTCTTCAAAGCATCTTTTATTTATCTTTTCTCTAGGCAGTTTTGAGTCCACTCATTGCCATTGCACTGAAAATATCTCAGATTCATGAGAGAACAGGTCGTAAGGGTCCTACTGTCATCACCTGAAGGAGAACTGCTGACTCAGGGCCAAACTTGGGAGGACAAGGAAGAATGAAGACATTGCTCAAACACACCAGTTCTTTGTGCCTTATATTAGTTTAAGGGCTTGGGGGCAGTTGGGAGGGAAGTGGATGGATAAAATTTATTTTGAGTTTCATTATTAAGAAAAATGTGCACTTGTCTCTTATAGCTTCAGCATCTTCTTGTGATGCAAATAATCAAAACCAGGGCTCTCTCTCTGAATAATACCAAGGTTTATTTATAAGAGATGATAGAAAAAAAAGATTCCTGTGTTTTGCATTTGCAAGGCAAAAATAGGCTACATGTTTCCTTAGCTAGAGCTGGCTGAAAAGCATAGATTTTTGATAATAGTGTTTTATGAATCTCCCATCATAATTTAAAAAGAAAGCACTCTTAGGATAGTCAAGAACATTTTTAAGAGGTCAAAAACAAAATATTTTTCTTAGGTTGCCTTATTTTCTAAACCCATCTGGGAGTTATGATGGATTGATTTTGAATTAAAATATAATAGGGCTCTTATTTTAGATAGTTGAAGTCCCAGAGGGTGGAACAACCTAGAACAGGGGTGTCAAACTGGCGGCGGACGGGCCGGACGCATCACGCGCAGGCCACATCTACTCCAGCTACACAAATGGGAAAAGTGTCACGTGATGGTGACATGACGCAGCGAGTTTGACATCCATGAACTAGAATATCAGCAATTTTGTCCTTTCTTTGGGCTGTTACAAAGCATTTGTGTAATACAATGAACCACAAACTAGCCAATCACATTTTAGCTTAGTGACCCTAGGGCTTTGTGACTCTCATCTGTGTGGCTAATTTATGGTTCAGTGATTTCTACAAATCTGGATGTATTAAGTAAAGTATGAGTTTATGATGAGTATGTTGTGTGACCATAGCCATTGAATCCAAGGGGTGCAGCTCATGAGCAGAATCTACAGGTGGGGCTATTCTAATCAATGAGGTTAGAAATATGTAGCCCAGCAGATTTATTTGGAAATAGGTCCCCCTGAGTGTCAGGAAAAAAATGTAATCTTCCATAAATATGTCTAATTCTGCAGCTTTATCCTGAGATTTTAATTAGCTGATTATCTTTTTCAAAGCACACTGGCAACTGCCACTCCTAATTTCTCAGCTCAAGTTTTAAGACTACATTTTTATGCACCAGCTGCTACATTTATACACACTTTATGTAACTAAATCTTACGTATTTAAATGGAAAAATGAGAAGTTACCTTGCAGCAATCTGTTTGGCAAACAGCTTTCATGTTTTGTTCATGTCTGCTGTTATTCATAAATACCATCACCAACATAACTGGTTTGTGTGTCTCTCTGCTTGTAGCTTAAAAATGGGACTGCTTTTTTCTACTTATTTCCTCAACCACCTTCTCCTAGTCAGATTCAGCTCTATGCAGCTTCAGTTTAAGGAAAATACCTTTTTGCTATTAGATTTGTATTCTGGATTTATCTCCTACTGTGGACCTCTCTTGACAATGATCCCTCTCCTTTTGTTATCAGTTTCTCCTTTTAGAAGTAAATCTTTAGGGTACTTCCTTCTCACTCTCCTGTGCATGTTCACTGTCGCTCTCTAGTACACAAATACTTAATTAAAATTAATTTAATTCAAGATCTTTAAAAATACCTTTCAAGATATATTTATGTTCCGCTTTTTAAAAGGGCTAATTATCACAGCAGAGTTCTAACTTTTATACAGATGGATCAGCTGATTTTTAAAAAACAAACACCAAACACCAGAGACAGTAGAAGGGACAGTAAAAAAGCTAAAAAGGAAACCATTCCTCTCCCACAGCAGGTACCCAGATAAGCAGGCATTAACACCAGACAAACAATCCAGCAGAAAACAATATCCTAATCAAGTAAATACCAAGCCGATAACCATATCCCCACCAACCCTGGCAGAGCAAGTTACTATATATGAACAGGCAGAAAACCCACATTCACTGATGAGGATGATGGTGATTATAATGTTATTTATTTGGGTAATGAAATGTCTGCAAGCAAACAGAGAGGACCAAGAACTCCACAAACATATGAATTTGGATAAGGTGAAGGAAATGGGTCTGTGGTGTGTCCCATTGTCATGCACCAATTTATAATCATAATTCAGAAAGTTGGAAGTGCTGTTTGGTTATTGCAAATGTGTGACAATTGAATATCTGATTTAGTGACATAGGCGACATAATCTGTCTTTTAAGGACTGTATGCCCTTGCATACTGTAGTTGGAGATCCATAGTGGAGTTAAATTGTTTTGTATGAGAATATGACTCGACAACTAGGTTTCTGCTACTATCTTCGCATAACATCAGAATATTTAAATGTTGTGGTATGTTGGAAGTGTAAGATTCCTGCTTCTATATACCCCTTATCAATATCTCTGAAACTTTACATCAGAAACAATTTTTAAAGAACCATCACTTCTTTACAGCAGATAATTTCCTCAACCTTGAAAATGGAATTTAGGAACTTTTCAAGCTAAAGCAGAAGACAATCTGGGTTTTTTAAAAATCTTAAAACAAGGGTGCCCAACCTTGGCAATTTTAAGACTTGTAGACTTCAATTTCCAGAATTCCCCATGCTGGCTAGGGAATTCTATGAGTTGAAGTCCACACGTCTTGAAGGAGTCAAATTTGGGCACTGCTCTAGAAACCTCAAATGGTAAAAGAGCTAAAAAAGGAAAGCAGGAAGACAGTGGAAACATTAGAATTAAAATGTACTTTTTGCATAACTCTGGACAAAGGAATTACAATTCCATTTTCCAAGTTAATTTAACCAAGAGACAAGGCTTCGGGGTGCATGAAAGTGTATGGAGCTGAAGAGGGAAATTTTCCCAACTAAAACACCATCTAGCTTGTTAGCAGAACTGTAGTAGAAGTTTTAGAAATATTTGCCTAGTTCATTTAATGAAAAGCTTGCCCAATGTCTTATTACAAGAGGGGAATATGGCAGAGGAAGGAGGCTTGCTCAGTGAATGCTGGCATATGGAAAATGTTTTTTGAGTTTGTAAAATAAGGGTGTCCAACTTTGGTGATGGCAACTTTAAGATTTGTGGCCTTCAACTCACAGAATTCTGACTGGGGAATTCTGGGAGTTGAAGTCCATAAGTCTTAAAAGTTGCCAAATTTGGATAACTCTGCTGTAAAATATAACACGGCTCCATCCATAGCACAAAACTGTGATATAAAACTTCTAAATGTCACTAATTCAAATATTTTTTCTCCTTGGGAAGCTGAGGTGTGACTATGTCATTGCAATGGCTTTTGTGAAATCTGAAATGTTCATAGCCTGGTAACACTGCAGTGGCAAACCTTCATTTCTAGTGCAATCTTGAATGCTGCGGTGTTTTAAGTAGCTGACTTGGATTCTTTTGATATTTGTCAAAACTTACTATGACATTTAATAAACTGCTGTGTCCTATTTGCCTTGCATGAAATCGCTGATGGAACACAGCTTGCTCCAATGCAACAGTTTTTTTTTTTTAAAAAGCTGTGTCTAGGAAAATGAGGCACTGATTTATCTTTGCACAGTGTTTTATTGCAGCATTATTAAACAGATTTTTTTTGTAAGTCAAATACTTTTGTTCTGTTTTATATAACATTACACAGTATATAATCTTTTGACTGCCCACAGCAACAAGTAGCTAGTTTGGTTTATTTCGTGCTGGCCTTTCATAAGAGATAAAAAGATTTGCTGGAGGATTTACTGTATATGGAGCGAGCTAAAAGCTGAGCACAATTTAAGAGATCTTCGTAAATGAAGTACAAGTTCTGAATTAAAATGCATACATATTGTCATGGGTTTTGAAATCCTTGATACTGATTAGAGCCAATCCATGGAAAAGGATTGGAGATATGTTAACTTTTCTTTTTCTTTTGTTACAAAAACATGGCCTCCATATCAGCAGATGGCAGCAGTTTCTTAAATTCAGGGAAATCTCAAGGCTGTAGGCTAGATGGTGAAATTGCAAAACCATCCAGAAGACAGAAGAAAACGACTTCTGATTTGCTGCCAAGAAACCTACAACGACTTCTCCATGAGTCAAGTTTGGTTGCTATGATATAAAGAAGGTGTTGAGACTCTAGAAAGAGTGCAGAGAAGAGAACAAAGATGATTAGGAGTGGTTTAGTGGTCGCAGGAATTGGGAATGTCTAGTTTCATGAAAGGAAGGATTAGGGTGACATGATAGTAGTGTTTCAATATTTGAAGGGCTGCCAAAAAGAAGGGGGGAGGGTCAACCTCTTCTCCAAAGCACCTGAAGGCAGGGCAAGAAACAAAGGATGGCAACTAATCAAGATGAGAACCAACCTAGAAATTAGGAGACACTTCACGACAGTGAACAATTAATCAGTGGAAGAGCTTGCCTTCAGAAGTTGTGGGTGCTCCATCACTGGAGTTCTTTTAAAAAAGATTGGACAGCCATTTGTCCAGAATGCTATAGGGCTGTGATGGCGAACCTATGGCATGCGTGCCACAGGTGGCACGTGGAGCCATATCAGTGGGCACACGAGCGTTGCCCTAGCTCATCTCCGGTGCGCATGCACACACTGGCCAGCTGATTTTTGGACCTTCTGGGCCCACTGGAAGTCAGGAAACAGGCTGTTTCTGGCCTCCGGAGGGCCTCCAGGGGGCTGGGGAAGGCTGTTTTCGCCTTCCCCAGGCTCCTAGAAAGGCTCTGGAGCCTGAGGACAGCAAAAAACGGGCCTACTGGGCCCACTGGGCGATCATGTACCAAGCGGGGGAGCGCAGGGGAGTTGCACGCGGGGGAGCGGGGTGCATTGAATTATGGGTGTGGGCACACACGCGCGACCCCTCCCTCCCGCTTTTGGCACGCGACACCAAAAAAGTTAGCCATCACTGCTATAGGGTCTCTGCTTGAGCAGGAAGTTAGATTAGAAGACCTCCAAGGTCCCTTCCAACTCTATTGCTACGTTAAGCTCAATTCAGTTTTTTTCCTTTCTAAAGTTAACCATATCCAGTTTCCTTAGTTTTCTCCCCAAAACATCATTTCCAGCTCCCTGGTTGTATTTTATCTGAATTAGTTCCGAACTGATACTTCAGATCACAGAACAAGATTTCACTTGGAAGTGAGTTCTTTTCACTATTGCAGAAAGAATATTTGATTACTATCCTTCACATGTGATAAATCACTTCATTAAAAGAAGTACTGTACCATCTTAAACTTGTCATGAAAATAGGAGCTAAGTTAATATTGAATACGGATTCACAAAATTACTTTGCTCATGTGGATTATCCTAAACATAAGACAGAGCCCTATAGGTTTTTCCTAAACATCTTGATAGGCAGATACTTTTGTATTTACCTTGAAATGAGAATTGGGATTTTGTTTTCTGACCTACAGAAATGGGGGGAAATGTCCCCCTTTTGGAATTCAGTACAGAATAGTGGGTTAACCTTGCCATAAACAAGCTCAAGACTTGATTGTTGTACAGTGCAAAGGAGCAATGGAGGAATTAGAAGAAAAGGTTACCAAGAGACTTCCTTCCTTCTTCCTTCTTCCTTGTTTTGTATGATGGAAACAAGTGCACATTTATTCTCCCCACCAATAATTGCTAATTGTTTCTCAAAATGTATTTCATTACAAAACTTTATTACAAGAAAACTACAATGCAGCATTAAACAATGTAAACTAGTTAGCCCCAGAACACAATAAAAAAAGTTGCTATAACCAAGAAATGTCAACTATTAATAAGTAATTCATTAGATTTCAGCCTGTAATGCTAAGGGATAACAAAAAGAATTGATGCTAAAATTCCAAGATATTTTTAAAATGTATATGTATGGAAGACATTCCAATGCTAATTACCTTACTGAAATTGCCTAAACCTCTAACATTGAGTTGGCTATTTTTTTCAATGGGCTATCTGTATTGTACTCCCTCCCCTCAAAAGTAATGAGAGGTAGTGAAGTTGATTAAATAGGGGTACATAATGAAAAATAATTAATTGCAATAGTGATACAATTACTCTTTTTAGAAAGAATAAATACTGAATTAAGAATACAATCTATTTTATCCAGGGTATTCTCTGCCTTCATATTTTTTGTGTCACCGCGGGCTCCATTGTAACTTAGTTTCCTGTATCCCAGATACTGTACAATAGTACCACAATAATTCAAACATGGAAAAAAACAAAGCAAGGCCAAACTACAAGTCAGATAAATTGTTTAAATCCAATGTCAATGAAATGGTAAAAGTTTAAATCAAAGGGTGTTTTGTTGGTTTTTTACTCAAACTGTAGAATAGGAACTGGTAAATCAAGTCCTTAATCTTTGGTCGTTTTAGCTGGATGCCTTCATCTCTTGGTACAGCGGAAAGCTTGCAGAACACTAAAAGAGTTTAGGAGTTTAATTTTGGAAAGTGCCTTTCATCTCCCTTATGAATGCCAAGAATAGGATATTTACAGTAACATAACCTTCTCCAGTCTGGTGCTCTTCTGATGTGTTGAACTTTAGTTCCCAAAAGACTGTGCACGTCTGACAGAGTATGGAAGTTGAAGTCAAAACACGTGAAACACATTGAGTTGACGAAAGCTAATGTAATTGACCTTGCTTTGCTGTATCTATATTTCCCATGTTCATCACTTAAGTTGAAACTTTCAATTTCTTCATTTACTCATTGCCTCTTGCCATGCCTGCTGCTATTCAGAAGATAGTGCGGGCTATTGCAAGCATTGATTAATAGAGGCAGAATACAACTATCATAAGATCTTCAAAAAGATCCAGTTGTTTCCATCCATCAACCAACAATGTTGGGCTGAATTCATCATCATTCCTAAAACCAGCAACACTATGGCTTATTCCAGGTCACAAAGACCAGGTTATTTCTGACACAACCTTTCTGAATGCTCCCTCATCTGTGCCCATTGCCCAGTGATTGCCAGCCACTGAATGCTCCTTTATCTGTGCCCAGTGACCGGTGATGGAACCGCACTGTCTTTTCCGCACCTCCTCACCAAGTCTTTACACACAATGTCTAAACATTGTCTGTGTCCCAGAAGAACAGATACGGCTTATCTTCCCCAGTCCTTGGACAGCCCATCTTATTAGCAGTTGCTCTATGGTTGAGGTGCTTGAGAAGCCTCTCCAAATGTTGGGTCGTTCCCTGTAGCTCCTTGCTGCACAGAGGCTTCATAGGAAGGTGGTTGCTGTTCCTGAACACCCGTTTCTTCAATGAATTCGAAGCGGCTTTCTGTGTACAAAGGTGGAGGTATGTTATAAGCATAGCTCTTTGGCTCCAGTGAGCAGGCTGGCAGTGAGAAAGTCTGCTTTCCCAGAGCGGTGCTGGCTTCGTATGAGGGCGGGTAGAAATCAGGCCTGCAAAAGACAGCCAAGACAAGAAACACACATTATTTAAGAAAGTGGTATTAAAAATTATCCCATATTGGTTTATAAATTATACAATCCTGGTTTTTGGGGGGTTTTTTTACTCTTTACAATGACCCTTCTCTTCCTACTTCAGAGGGAAAAAATTGACCCTCTGAATCATTGCATTACCTCAAGAACAAAAAAAGCTTTCAGATAGTGACGTTCTTAGAAAATTGGGAGAAGAGAGGTTTGGATGGTTGTTTTGCCTTACAAGCATCACAGCTCTTTTATTTGTTTGTTTGTTTGCTTGTTTGTTTGTTTGTTTATTATTTGCCAGCCATCTTGTAGTCAATAGTTCTGGATGGCTTACAGAAAAAAACATTAAAAAAACATTAAAATCAACACTCATAGAAACACACAAATTAAATCATTAAAAATAAAAGCATTAACAGCAGATGGGAAAGGAGGGAGCCAGACACACCGGGTTGAGGGAGAGGGGTGTAGAGATGTGGGATTGCTTTAATTAGTCCACCACTTCCAGTAAGAAGCTCCCCCATTGGGTCCCCAAGCCAAATGCCAGAGCCAGGTCTTAAGGCTCTTATGAAAACTTAGGAAGTGGGAGCTAATCTCACCTCATGGGTAATCTTTTCCTATTTAACAACATTTTTTCCTTTCAGGATGTTGGTGTAGTCCTCAACTTACAGCAGTTCATTTAGTGACTGTTCAAGGTTACAACAGCACTGAAAAAGTGACTTATGACCATTTTTCACACTTATGACCGTTGCAGCATTCCCATGGTCACATGATCAAAATTCAGATGCTTGGCAACTGACTCATATTTATGATAGTTACAGTGTGCCAGTGTCCCAGAGTCCCTTTCTGATAAGCAAAATTAATGGGTAATGCAGATTCACTTAACAACCATCCTCACTAACTTAACAACTGCCAGTGATTCACTCCAATTGTGGCAAAGAAGGTCATAAAATGGAGCAAAACTCACTTAATGACTGTTGCACTTTAGAACAGAAATTTTGGGGCTCAATTGTGGCCGTAAGTCGAGAACTACCTGTATTCTGTAATGGCACTATTATGAGGCACATCCAAGGAAAAATGAACTTGATTAATACCAAATAGTTTATTCCCAGTCTTCCATTAATTCCCCTGGTATTTGAACAAAAATTGCATACGTGTATTCTGTCTAAAAGTGTTCCTAAATTTACTTCCTAATGAGGCTCTGGTGTCTTCCAAAGTGTGACATTTTTCTGGTTATCTAAGCAAGGTTTGCACTCTGTCATATTTATAGAGCTGTTGCTTTGCCGATTGTGAGTGTTTATGGCACTGTTACCATAACAGAATAAGAACTGATTTTTGTATCTGTAGCCCTTTAACAAGGCTTGCCAGTCTGAAGACCAGCTTGACTTTAAGAGAAATATATTGTGAATGTCTCCGTTTTGTTGCAGAATGGCCCAGAATATGACTGTGAGGATTTTAAACTGAAAATAAGCAGGCAACTGCATACCACTTCAACAAGTACTGAACACGGTTGAAACTATCAGCTGATTTAAAAAAAGAATGCGTTCTTGACTTTGGGAAAAAATATTGTAGAGCCACAAATACCTATAGGATTGAGGCATGCACTGTACACAGTGGTGGGATTCAAATAATTTAACAACCGGTTCTCTGCCCTAACAATTTCTTCCAACAACCAGTTCACCAAACTGCTCAGAAAATTAACAACCGGTTCTTCCGAAGTGGTGCGACCTGGCTGAATCCCACCACTGCCTGTACAGTATTCTTAAAGGCTCTGATTTGAATTCAGAATGTATAATGTCCAAGACTTGTTATCAGGATAGTAATAGTTCATGACAGTGCATGTTTCTTACATGATTTCAAGTGACCCCACAGAAATTTGGACAAAGATACACATTACCTCCTTTACAAGGTGTGAAGCTAAGTATTGTTATGCTGCTCTTCTTTAAAAGTTTATAACTGAGCATGCTCAAAACCACTGGAAGGAATAGCCTATGTCAATGTTTCACAACCTTGGCAACTTTATGATGTGTGGACTTCAACTCTCAGAATTCCCCAGCCAGAAGGCTGAGAAACTGGTCTAGGTTGAGAACATATGATTCAATTGAGGCCCTCTAGTGGCTAAGCAGGAAAGTGAATCTAATTTTGCTGCATCCATATCTAGCACTAAACTGAATTTTTGCATGATAGACCACTGTATGTGATCTAGAATGCTCAATAAAGTGTAGTAAGCAGTTCATTAAGGATCAAATTAGTTTTAGGAAATATAAAGAAAGCAGAATAAATCACCCATTCCTAAACTAGTTCTCTCTAGATGGCACAGATCATGGCACTGACAAATTTAGAGAATTTAAGGCTGAGGAAAAGTGAGTATGTACAGTACTATCATCCAATTACACATATAGAAGGAAGAGTAGAGATTTAAAATATGAATTATATATAGAAAAAGGAAGAGATAATGAGGGAACCAAGGGAATGAAAATGCTATTGATAGACAGGAGAAACGTTATGGAACTTATTCAGTTAGATTCAGACTAAGTCACCTATCTTTAGTACCTATTAAATCAATGGGATCTAAGTTTAAAATGGCTTAGTTTATTTCGGTAGGATTTAACAAAACTAATTTAATCCAAGTCTTCCTTAGAGGAAGCAGGTGGGGGGTAGTTTTCCCAGACTGCTATGGGCCCTGGTACTTAGGGAGAACAAAGTTCAAACCTTAAATGTTAGGTAGGAAACCGTATATATGTGTTCCATTCCAATTCATGGTCTCTCCGTTTATAGCCTGGTGCCTTAATACTACACACAACTGGCTGTCAGTTTGGTTATAAAATTTGATAAGCTTTTTTTACTAGATTATGAGATAAAAGTAAATGAATGAAAACTGAGCAGTGGTGAAATCCGGCAGGTTCTGACAGGTTCTGGAGAACTGGTAGCGGAAATTTTGAGCAGTTCGGAGAACCGGCAAATACCACCACTTGCTGGCCCCAGAGTGAGGAGGGAATGGGGATTTTGCAATATCCTTCCTCCAGGAGTGGGGAGGGAATAGAGATTTTGCAGTATCCTTCCCTTGCCATGCCTACTAAGCCACACCAAGCCTACCAAGCCATGCCCACAGAACCGGTAGTAAAAAAATGTGGATTTCACCACTGAAACTGAGGGTACTTAAAATATGATGTTTAACAACTACATATATGTAAAGAGAATTCCCTTTACAACTGGCTGGGGAAAAATAATAAACAATTACTGGATCTTATCAAAAAGCAACTAGAATTGAAGCAACGCATATCTTGAGACAATTAACTTGAAGGGGTATCATTTAAGAAAAAGTTGTGTTTATAGCATATATAATTAGTGAGTCATTACCAGGAAGAAAAACCAAGAACTTAAATGGAGCAAACTCAGATCAGAGAATTAAGGAGGAAAAGAAGTGTACATCAGGGCCAGTTGATGGCCAGAAATAGTCAACACATACCTATCTATGGTCGTGATGTGACTTTCTTGAAGTCTAGGATTCCCATGTATAATGCTGTGGAACAAGCTGTTGTGCTTGCTGGCTTCGTGATAGGTGCTCCAGAAGATCCCAGCAATGAGAAAAAAGAATCCTAATGGTAGAAGAAAATATGCAAGCGGCAAACTGTTGCACTTACATGCAGAAGCGCTTGTAGAGATGCAAAAGGCTCCTAAACAAATAGTTACAAAGCCAAGTAACAACACAAACAAGCGGACAAATGAGAAGAGGTTCTTGGACATCATTGCTCTTAGTCTCAGCATGCTCTGGTTGAACAATTTCTCCTCTTCTCTGCACAGATTTTATATGATCAGAGACTGATTGTCCTTTGGACACGTGTTAAGGTACCCATTAACCATTTAAAGCAGTCATAGTATCTCAGGAGATTAACTTATAATCAAAACACTGCCAAAGAAGAGGCAAAAATACTTCCTGTATTGTTTAATTGCCAACATAAACTCAGCAAATCCTTGCTGCCCTATCTACAAGATTCTTCTCAGCCTTCCTTCCACCAATTTGTTCCAAAAGTATAAAGCGGTTCTTGACTTATTAAAAATAAGTTTTTTAAAAAAACTTGTGAACCTTAATGCTCTGTTCCAATGGTCAAGAAAGATTAACTGTTCTTTTTTGGTTATATGTATTGATTTTGCAAGTGGGAGCTATTTAGACTGTCCTTGATTGATCCTTTCTTATTTTAACATATTCAGCATCAGTCCCATGGCTGATAAACAGTTCCACCCTTAGGCAAGCTACATCTTGATGTTTTTGTAGGGCAGCTTAAATGCAGGGCCAGTTTGCTGTAGAGGGAGATCTTCCCACTAATTCCCACAGCACCTTTTAGGGTACCAAGCATAAATGAGATTTGGCTGGAAATAATGGCAAAGGACAGAGAGAAGAAGAACAAACATCTCTGCAAGTGTTCTCAGATGATAGTTCCTACAATTATCAAGCAAAAGGCATTGTATAACCATTGAATTTTATAATAACAACAAACAAGGAGGTAAGGGGGAATAATAAGTAGATTCCAAATGAAATCACCATCTCTATAATATCTAAGAAGGAAACAGGATAGGAGTATCACATAATCTTATCTGAAAGCACTCTTCTGTAACAATAAAATCTTGTCCTTGCAATGAATTATCTCATTTCTGCTATAGTTGCACATGCAACAAAACCAAGACCTTCTATGCTTTCCATTGAAATTTGCAGCTGGGGTTGCTTATATAGATCCTTGAACCGGAATCATGTCCAAGGGAAATATTTTACTATGTAGTCCTCCTTGCGTAAATCACCCTGAAAACATGTATTATCTGCTTTATGAGACACTTAGGAACGAATCAAGGGCACTGAATGACAAGAACAAATACCACCCAACCGCCAGTTACATCATGACCTGTAATACATCAACTATGTCCTAGTTCTGCCTGGACTGACTTCACCACTGTCATCTCTCTCTCCCTCCCTCTCTTTACTAAAACAGTGAGAGAATCCCATGCTGTAATGCTGTTGAGGATCCTAGAAAATGCTAAGTTCCCAAGAGCAATAAGCCTACCGAAAGAAGAGACCTTTTAGTGATGTCAGTGGAGAAATGCCTTATTCCAATCTGCAGTCTGTAGGATTAAGCATCTATTTCTCCCGCAGTGGGAATGTCAGTTAAAAGAAGGTATAACATAACAGAAAGAGTGAAAACTTCATTTGTGAAATAGCTAAGCTGTAAAGATAAAGCAAAAGTGCTTTAAAAAAAAAAAGCTTGAACATGAACTCACTTAGCATTCGGACTCTTTGACTGTCAATCCTTTTAAGGACAGAACTTCATACTCCAACACAAGCCTAGAATTCTTAACCCTCCAAATTCTGCTGTTGGATAGAGATAGAAAGATGATCATCAGCTGGACATGCTTAACATTCCTTGGCTTTCTATTTTTTTTCCTTTTCATCCCCTGTCCTATAGAAACACTTTCCAACAACAATTTTCTCCTAGAGATCAACACTTATGCTGAAAACAAGGCTTAGGTAGCTGGATCAGGCTTTTTGAGCTCCAAAAGCAGGGATACAGAAATATAATACAAAACCAACCATTTTAAAATCAGGTTTGTTGAAGAAGCCGTAATAGGCTGGCCCTGACAAAGCCATAATGGATAGGTTCACACAATAAAAGACCTATATGTCAGCTTAACAAGATGTAAACTAGGAACCGTCTGTCAGATGGTCGGTTTTAAGGCAAAAAGGATGCAAACAAGAAGGTCAACGGCAGATGAAAGTCAACATTCAAGGCAGCATCCAGAGATCAAACTGCAGATACAACTTTCACACCTAAGAAAAGAAATGCAGAAGGAAGTAATAAGCCTAATATTTCATAGGGGAGAAACTGGCTTATAGATAAACTTTGCAAGTCAAAAGAGTTGCTTTGCAAGGGGAATATTGCCAGTGCAGAACAAAAGGTGATGAAACTGAGCAGCTGGTGACTGCAAGTCAATGCATCATCCATATAGAAAAGTGAGATATCAACAGGAACAGGGGAAATCCCAACATTTTAGAAATGCCAAGTATTTATCTGTCAGAGTTTCAAAGGTGTTTACAAGACCTGGCTCTATTTACTGGTTATTAAATGCTGATTGGCTGGTAGGGGGAAAAGGAGGAATGAAATGGTGCATTATTTTTACAGGTTCCTCTTTATCTCTGTTTGTGTATATGTGGGTGTTGCTACTCCTTAGGAGCTGAAAGTTCATATAGGACAGAGGTGGGCAACTATGGCAATTTTGCAACCTGTGGACTTCAACTCCCAGAATTCCTGAGGCAGCATGGAATTCTGGGAGTTGAAGTCCACAGGTTGTAACACTGCCCACCCTTGATATAAGAGGAGAAAGTCCCTCAGGTGACCTTCAGATTCTTAGGATCCTTTCAGATTCTTAGGATGAAGTGTCAGCTTCCAGCCAGCACTGTGACTTGACTCCCCCTGTTTGAAAAGGGGGACCTTGACATATTGGTTTCCATTCTTCCTTACTGGCCACAAAATAACTTTTGCAACAAGAGAAATATTGGAGCTTAGGAACTATGTTTGCATTGAGTTGGCTTGATAAGATGCTCAAAGTTTCTAGAAAGTTGAGTTAGATCACCTTAAATAAAACTTTAAAGAGTCATGCAGACAGACAACATAGATTGTTTTCTATCAATGGGGCACTCAGTTACTGTAAGGGAATGGAAGACTCATATATAAGTTGAAATAAAGATGCCCCTTTAATTAAATTCCAGTTCCTCCATTCATGCCAGGGGGAATCCAAGCCTTTCTTCCTTTCACCACTGAACTTAGAGATAAAGTTGACTGGATATTTGTAATGGAATTTCATTTATCAAGAGTATGATGTATTTTTTTCCAATTCAGATTCCTGATAAGTGCAAACTCAGTGAGCTCTCTGACTAATCTTTACACGTCACTTAAAATGGCTCATTAAAAAAAAACTGTTCTAGGTTTCATTGTGAATTTCTCAAGTTATTGACTTAGCAGTGTAAACTGTACTCAAGATTGTTTCATAAATATAACAGGTGACATGGCAGCTAGCCTATCCCATTCGGTGCCTGCCCGAACCAGACTATCTGGTTCTCCATACTGTCAAAGATCTTAAGTGGACAATGTTCTCCATGGATTTATTTCCTGGCGTTACTAAAAGACAATTTACAGCCAATGTGGTCCCATACATCAAGCAATCAAATGACCCTCTTTCCACCTTCTTCTTGGCAATAGCTGTTCCAACTTGTGGCCAACTTGCCACAGCCAACTTGTTGCAGCCAACTCACTATGGCCAACTCACCACAAAACAACTCACTGCGGGACAAGAGTTACACTAATGTTGAAGAAAGAGCGAAATAGAGTTGTTAAAGAAAGGATGCCAAAGGAGGGATAAAATGAAATGTGAATAACAAAAAAATAAATATTTTAAAAATTATTTCAAGTAATTAAATTGAATTGTTGAATTGTCCTGCAGTGAGTTGCCGCATGGTGACTTGTTCATAGTGAGTTGTCCCACAGTGAGTTGGCCGTGATGAGTTGACCGTGGTAAATTGACCATGGCGAATTGTTCCATTCCACTGAGATAGGGTGAGTTCAGTTTAGTCATGGTGGTAGGTTATTGGTTTTTAATATTTTTATTCTACATGGCTGTGATTTTACCTATTGGTTACAACCTGCCCCAGGTTACGCACAAGATGGGTGGCCATATAAATGTTTTAAATAATTAAATAAAAGCTGTTCTGCAAGCAGTACTTTCTTAAACCATCAATCCATCTATGCTAGTTTTGGTGATTTTCAAGGGCTTATTGCTTCCCAGATTCCGAAGAATACTTTTTCAGTCCTGGTGCACAAGATACGCATGGAAAAATTAGGGGGTTGCACTCTAGACAATCATTAAGCAAAGCAAAATGGATCTAACAATGGTGGAGCCCTCCATAAAACCTCTTAAAACATTCACTATTTCATCCTCGCCAGTTCTGTTAGCAATTTAGGACGTACAGATTAATCACTGTCAACCCCTGGTTCAAATCTCCAACAAATTGTGATTCTCTAATATACTGTTTATATTTCGAGCACTAAAAATATGACAGTGGTTCAACACTTTAAACCAACACTAATTCAGCCTATGTTGCAGCTTGATGGGGCAATGTATGTGACTAAGCACGTTTTAAAAAATATTTGTGTAAGACTGGTGTTTATGCCCTTTTCATAAACCTGGTTTTTTTCACAACTCAGTACTGCTAAGAAAATCTCATGACGGGCTGCAGCATGCCACTTGTGAGAGATATTATTATTACAGGGAGTGGTTTTTGCAAAGTATTGATTGATTGATTTCTTTGTCCTCTATGGAGTTCAAGGATTATATGTAGCTCTTTACCCCGTTTGGATCTCAAAACATTCACACCTGAATTGGCTGAGTTCCCACATGCATTTAAATCATTGTGCGATTGGGTTGGTTTGGTTGGGTTTAGCTCGCTGGGCGATTACAATTTTGTGCTTCATTCAGTAACCCATGATTAAATCTGCTGCTTCCCAGAATTTTGTTCTTTTGAACAAAAGTATCAACAGATCTTTTGTTCAAGGAA